TGACTATCTTATTATAGATAAGTTTATAAAGTATATGTAGTGTAGGGATGTAGTAGCAATTCTTAACCTAGCTGTTGGAACCTGCAGCACTTTAGGGTGTCTTTGAACTCTGCAATTGGAAGTGGATGCAAGCACGTGTGAATTGTTTTGCTGTCAAGAGTTAAAAATGGATAAAGTTTTTGAAGTTAATATATGTATATACACAGTGGAAATTCATTCATTTTAAGCAGTTTGTTGAATGCAGAGACTGTAAGCAACTGTGTAACTGCTGCCACAGTCAAGATGAGGACAATCAGTTTCCTTACTCCAAGGAGTTGTTCACACCCTTCCACAGTCTGTGGCCTTAGTCTTCCCTTACCATGGTCCCTGGAAACCAATGAGTAGCTTTGTCACTTGGTTGCCTTTCCTAGAGTTTCCTGTAAGTGAAGTCTTGTAGCGTAGCATTTTGTGTGACTTTGCATGTTTTGGGGATTCCTCCATGTTAGTTGCATTGATAACTTTGTTCTTGTTTTGTTTTTCTGAGTAATATCCTGAACTGTGGATAGTTTGCAATTCATTTTATTATTTTTGTATTTTAGGGAAGGGTCTACAGGGTGTTCAAGGTCTTACTACCAGATTGGACTCATAGTGAACCACCTGTTTACAGCCTCCCAAGAGCTGGGATTACAGGCACGCGCCACCATGCTCAGTCTCAGTTGCCTTCTCAGCGCGCCCTGGGGGCAGGGCTAGCATGGCAGGCCCGGGGATCAAACCCCTGGCCTTTAATCTGCTGAGCTATTTGGTAGGCTCTAAGATCCTACTTTTTTTTGGTACCAGGGATTGAACTCAGGACCTTGTTCTTGCTAGGCAGGCACCTAAGCCACTGAGCTATCTCCCCAGCCTGCAGTTCATTTTATTGAGCTGGTTTTGGTAAACTTCTGGTTTGGTTCTGGGTTTTGTTTTTGTTTTTGTTTTTTTTTTGCTGTTGTAAAGAATGCTACAGTGGATATTTCTGAAATAATGTTTGTATGTTTTTATTTCTCTTGAATGCATTCTTAGGGTAGGTATTTGACTCTTGTGGTAAGTTCATGTTTAACTCTTAAGACTTTGTGATTGCTGCTTTCAACCTTCCTACTAGCAACTTTCATGAAATTCAAGCTTTTTAAAAAGGTTTCTCTCCAGCAGTACTGTGGGATGCTGAGGCAGGAGGATCACAAAGTCTAACCTAGCCAGAGTAGCGTTATGACATAATAAGATCCTTTCATAGAAGGTACAATAAATAAATTTTTCTTTTTCTTTTTTCTTTTTTTAAAATTTGTGTGTGTGTGTGTGTGGCCAGCTCAGCCCACCAGGGGGCGGGCTGGCTGGCATGTGGTACTGGGGGATTGAACCGCGATCCCTGTGCTTTGCTAAGCTTGTTCTAAGTAGGTGCTTTAGACCACTGAGCCATCTCACCAGCCCAATTTTTCTTTTTCTTTCTTTCCTTTTTTTTTTTTTTTTTTCCCAGTACCAGGGATCGAACTCAGTACCTTATGTTTGCCAGACATGCGCTTATGCTGCTGAAATATCCCCCCAGACCATAAATTTTTAAAAGGGCTGGGAATGTAGCTCAGTATGAGGGTCTTGGCTTTGTTCTGCAGAGCTGGGATTGGGGTTATGTTCTACTTTTCTGATTCAGAGTCGGGGGTGGAGTTGTTTTGGGGCATTGTTGTATTAAATCACAACTTATACTTTGATGATGTGTTTTAATTTTTAAAAAAGTTTACCCAACATGTATGTACATGTGTGTAGTGGTAAAAGGGTTGAGCTACTTCATACTGTTACATTGCTAGCCATGAAGTCCTAGATATATTTCTTAAATAATTTGCTTTTTATTTGAGTTACTACTTTATTAGAGGAATTTTAAATTTTACTTCATAGATGTCTGTTTATTAGATAGAGGTTTACCTTGATGCCGTTCTTTTAGAAGTATTAAGTAAAAGTTGTGCGAAAATGTACAGAGGCTTTGGGCTGAACTGCATTCCTGTTTTTTTTTTTTTTAATTTTGGAAATAGTCTCAGTAAGTTTCTGGGAGTGGGCTCAAGCTTTCTGTCCTCCTGTCTTACTGACCCAGGGTGGTGGGATTACAGATGTGTGCCACTATCCTAGCCATGAAGGACTTTTTAAATGTCTTGTACTAATACTAATACTGTGTGTGTGTGTGTGTGTGTGTGTGTGTGTGTGTGATCCTGTGTCTGTTTTGGAACCAGCTCACCCTCCCTTTTTGGGCAAAGGAAAGGTCCTGTGCATTGAACCCTCGGTATTCCAAGACCTTGTTATTTTTGAAGCAGGGCCGTTATTATTTTCTACTGATTTTAGAAAAAAAGTGAAGGTTTACTGCTTTAGCTCAGTCATCCATCTCTAGGCCATTCCTGCCCCTAAAATACAATTTGTGTGTTTTATGAAAAGCATTAACATTTTATCTAAAAGCTTGTGAAGGTACTGCCATCAAGTCCTCTCTTCACCCAGGCCTTCTAGGGACAGACCACTCGTCTCTTCTCTGGCCTAGTGTCCAGGAAGCCTTTCTTGGGTCTCCCTAGGAGATGACCCGCTCTGTCCTCCTGGTCTCATCCTTTTATTCTTAGAGCTTTTCTACGATGTATTCCAATTAGTTTTCCTTGAAGATGTTTTAGAATGCTGGTCATAAAAGCATCTTGGACATCTTTTGGAATGTTTACCAGTTCAAAACTATTGTCATACTAGTGTCTAAATAGTATTTGCCAATTTTCCTGGGTTTTTTTTTTTTTTTTTTTTTTTTGGTCTTTTTGAGGTCTCACTGTGCAGTTCAGGCTGACCTTGAACTCACTTTGTAGCTAGGCTGCCGTTGAGCTTGCAATGATTTTCCTTCCTCAGGCCTCCTTAGTGCTGGGATTACTGGGGTGTGCTGCCACACCCCGCCTCCTCTTGTTCTCTTGCCAGTGTTTGATGGACAGTTCCAGATGCTGTCAATGTGTAGTATCATGAAAGAAGAGTACTGAAGCAGACATGATAACCCATATGCTTTCTGTTAAATGGAACTTTAAAATGATCTGAAAAATGCTAAACAGTGTGATCTATTCTGATCAAGGTTTTTTGAAAATGTAGGTTTTTTTAATAAAAATGTTTGTTTTTGAATTCTGATTTTAAAAAATTCTCTTTTACGTATTACGTACAGGAACTCACTATGTAGATTGGATTCGTGATTCTCCTGTTTTTAGCCTCCCAAGTGCTGGGATTACAAGTGCACCACCATTCCCAATCTCAGTTGCCCAAATCCCAGCTGCTGCACTCTGCCTAAGCAGTCACTTTAGTCCATTGAACTATCTGACCGGCCCGAATACTGATTATTTTTTGTTTTCTATAAATGTAGGTTATGTTAATGTGTACTTAATATTTTTAAGAGAAACTGAGCATTTCTCAATTTGAATTTCTTAATTTCTTTCTTTTTTGTGGTATCTGGGGATTGAACTTGGGACCTTGTGCTTGCCATGCAGGAAGGAGCTTATGCTGCTGAGCTATCTCACTGGCCTCTCAGTTTGAATTTCTTTTCTTTCTTTCTTTCTTTCTTGCTTGCTTGCTTGCTTGCTGGCTGGCTGGCTGGCTGGCTGGCTGGCTGGCTCAGCCCGCTCTGGGGGTGGGGCTGGTGTGGTGCGTGATGCTGGGGTTTGAACTGCGGTTGGTCCCTGCAGTTGCCTAAGCAGGTGCTTTAGATCACTGAGCTTTCTCACCAGCCCTGAATTTCTGATGTGTAACTATCACAGAGAAGTTCTTTGGGGTCCTCAGGGTTTGTCTTTTTTAATGAGTTTAATTTCTTAAACATTTTCAATTTTTAAGGGTTCTGTGGTATAATACAAAGTGTATTTGATCTTTTTATTCAGTTCTTGTAACAGTGGCCTAAAGCTGTTTTAATTTCTTAAGTGACAGAACATCTTGTGTTTCTTGTGAGTCACCTCCATTATCTAGTGTGATGAGTTTGAGGAGGCAGGACACCCGAACCTTGTGTTTGAGTCTCTCTGATTTTCTGTCAGGGTGGCAGGGAGGCAGTTACAGTCTCTTATGGCCTCTACAGCAAACTTCGATCAGCTTCCCTGGTTTTCCTGAGTGTATTATGTCATCACATTATATTAAAGTGGCAAGGTCTTAAGTATTAGAGATGGAATTTATTTTAGTGATCAAGTCTTTCTTGAAGGGTTTTATTTTGGACAGACTTGAATGCTAGACAGAATTTATCTTCTGTTTTTTTGCAAACCAGGGGTTGAACTCAGGCCCTTGAGCTTGCCAGGGGAGTGCTTATTCTACTGAGCCATCTCCCTGGCCCCAAGAATTCATCTTCTGTTTGAAATTTTCTTTCTTGAAAGTAGAACATGATGAGTTCCTTAGATTGTCTGTCAGAGTGAGACTAATCCACTAGTACTTGATAAGCTTTCACTACTTACTTGGAAGGTGCTGTTTGCGAGTCTTTTAGCCACTGCGTGAGAGTATCTCAGCCACTGTGCTGTGACCAGCTCCTGGTTAGGTAGTTAGCACTAAGTTTTTCCTGTGGTCATTATAAAGAACTTAAAGTAACCCTTTAGTGATGTTGAAAAGAGTAAGAAAAAAATTTTTTTGAACTGCAGGACTTGTTTTAAAACATTCATTTTTCCTTCCCATTTTTTAATAAAAGAGAATAAGGTATTTGGACCTGTTTTGTGTGTGTGTGTGTGTGTGTGTGTGTGTGTGTGTGTAACAATGGTGGATTCTAGTTATCAGTTTTCCATTTAAGTAGGAACTAGCTCTTTAGAAATAAGTTCTAGAATTCGTCTGAAGATTCACATTTAGCTTATATGACTTCTCTCATTTGCTTTGATTTTAATACTGAATTAATAAGGTTAAGTATGTAGGAATCTTATGCAAACTTTATTGTTTACATAAGGTTAAAGGAAATTATAAGACATCTGTTTAGTCTTCTTACTGTAGTTGTATGGTTTTGCAAGCTCACTGGTATGGTTTGGTTTTTCTTATAGGTGGTATTAAAAATAATCAAACATTATCAAGAAGAAGGACAAGGAACTGAGGTGGTTCAAGGAGTACTTCTGGGCCTGGTGGTCGAAGATCGGCTTGAAATCACCAACTGCTTCCCTTTCCCCCAGCACACAGAGGATGATGCGGAGTTTGATGAAGGTGCAGTATTCATCTCGTGCATGTGTGTAGTGCATACTTGCGCAGGAGAACATGTCTCGGCTACTCTGAACTCTGAGCATTTGTTACTGTGGATCTGTCAGATTGTCCTAACCCTTCATTTATGGGTGGCTTAGAAAATTACACAAATGCTAGAAAATGAGGGTTTATATCTTAAAATTCATTATGTTGTCCTTTTCCTACTGGGCTTGGTGGTTCTGATTTGCAGTAGTAATCTGCCCCTCATGTTCAGAGGATATATACTAAGACCCTCAGTGGATATGTGAAACTAAGATAGGGTTAAATTCTTTTTTTTTTTTTTGTATACATCTGTGATAGAGCTTAAATTACAGAGACTAACAGCAGGAATTAATAATAGGTTGGGTGCATGTCTGCGATCCCAGCACTCAGTAGAGTGAGGCAGGAGAATTGCTGTGAGTTTGAGATCAGCCTAGGCTATATAGTAAGTTTAAAAAAAAAAAAAAAAAAAA